GGTGTAGCATATTGATGAGATGTTTGTCCTATTGATGAGATACATAATTTAGAGACGAGTATAGTTTTCTTGCGAATAGCCTACATCAGATCAGTATCAAGAAAAAAGGAATAACAATACATTTAGATATATACTTCGAAAATCATATAAAGCAAAAGTAAATAAAGTGCATGTTAACAAATTTAAACAAATTAATGCTTAAATACCATTGATTACGAAACTGTTCCTCGAGTATGTACAAATTTTAGGTGAAAACTCAGCTTCAATACGCAAGTTCTATTCGTTTTCCCTTCAAATCAAAGTATGATTACAAATATAAAGCAGACTAATTACCATAGGTGTATGTAACAGTATTTTTGGAAAATTAAAACTAAGGAAAGTTATGTCATCAAGGCATAAAACCCTAAAAACATCCAACTATTATAAATAGCCATAAAACTAGCATTACTCGCTCCAGGTTTATAAATAATGAAAACCAAGATACATTTTTTTGGAATATGTCCTATCGTCTGCTATTAAAATGTCTGTTTAGTTCCTTGTATATACACTTGTTTATTTCATATATGCATGCATATACAAGTCCGAAGGGTTTGTATTTGACTTCCTCTTTTCCGTCAAGGTATTGATTAACTTGGTACTGTCTCGAATTATCACAGAAACATTCTATACAAATACCTTGTATTGCCAAATACCAGAGTAATGTGATCACAAAAGCTATCGTTTTTAATAGTTACCCTCCCCGTGCTGTATTATGCAATTGGTGCATGTCAACAAAGACGCCCCTGTTCCGGTTGAAACACACGTATCGCACGTATAGGGTACGCTTAGCATATACCTATGGACATGTGTATATGTTTATTCAGTGCTCACCCTGTCGTTTCGGGTATGTTGGTCAACGCTTATATGATAATTAATCGTTCTATCATTACTATTGCAGAGAAATGAAACGCAAGAGAATGGAAATTATATAATATCTCCATTGCAAATCATCGGATGTATGACGTCGTGAAAAAAATATGGCACGTAAGGTACGCTCAGTATATATTAATGACCACGTTTATACGCGCATTCCGTGACTCCGAGTCTAAATATTATGTGTAAACACCCTGTCGTATCAGGTATGTTGGTAAATACTTATATGATAATTAGACATATGTTATGACTATACAAAGAAATTTAACATAAGGGTTTGGTTTGATTTATTTTAGTTTAACGTCCCATCAGACATTTCTCATTTTGAGGCAGACCTACCACGGATCTCACCTTACTGTTTGTTTAGCTCACCTGGTCCGAAGGACCATGGTGAACTTATGCTATACCGCAGCGACCGTCTGTCAACTTTTCCTTTAAAACGCTACTAGTTCTGAACAGCCAAGTTGATTTTGACTTAATTTGGTCTGGAGCATCCTTAGGCCAAAGACACTCATTTTTGTATAAATGGTGGGTGTGGCCCTCCTGATGGTAGAGGGGC